AGAGGGTAGAGAGGGCAGACAGGTGCCACGGAATGGAGGGCTCCCGGCACTTGCAGCCCACCCTGGATGGGTTCCACATCCTGGACCCCCTCGCCTTGGGCAGCGTTGGCTTCCACCTCGGGCCCGCGGGAGCCACAACCTCCCATCTCATCCTGAGTCCACTCAGCACTCTCCCTGTGCAGGATACCTGCAGGAGGAGAGGGGCCCTGGTCCCAGTCCACACCCCAAGCCAGCAGGAGCCTCGCAGAGCCGGAAGCTGCCCCAGCCTGGGGAGGCTGAGGGCCCAGGCTGTTCCTGGCACTGGCAGGGGGTCAGCAGGGCTCCTGGGAGCCAGTGCAGCCACCCAGAGGTCCTGCTTGTCGCGCCCACGTGTCTTACCGCCCAGCATCATGCTCGAACTCAGTGCAATGCCATAATGGCCTGAGGTGCAGGAGCCATGATGTCCATGCTCTTAACTAAGCCTGTTGAAGCAAGCTCAACCATACCATGGGGGAGTTACCATTCTGCATGGCTAGTAGGGCTTGATGTATTGCCACACGATCTCGCTGAGCGCGGTGTCTCAGACGACACAGGCAAAAACGGCATAAGGCACAGCCTGCACACAAGAGCAGAATCAGCACAACCACTCTCACCCATTCCTTAATATGGGAAGTGATGTTCCAAATCCAAGTGGCCAGGGTTTCAGCAACAACAGGATCCACCCATGTAGAATTAATCTGGACAATAGCAATTCTCAACTCCGACTGTAAAATATCAAATTCTCTCGTCCAATTTCCTAAAAGATAGGAAGAAAGCTGGCAAGAAAGATTAGCAGCCGTTGAAACATTTTGAAAAGGAATAGAAGTAACACATAAACCTTGACACTAAAATTCTCAGGAGACGCTTGAAAATAAAGCGTGTCCTGTAGGGGGAATAAAAAATTACTCACATTCTCCTTAATATTATCATAAGGGAGAAAAGGCAAATCCAAAGAAGAAAAAATCAAGGAAACACTCGGGCTGAGTGGGCGACCGGTAAGGGTCGTGGAAAAACACTCAAAACTCCTCATCGTGGCTCAGCAATCACGGTCCTCACAAGCGCCATACAGACCATTAGTTGCACCATCAGCCGTGTTTGCAGTGGGCGGGGCACCATTGTCCTGTGGGATTGTAGGAGGAGTTTCTGATTGCGGGGTTGCATGAATCTTCCCCAAGTCAGATCCTCGCACAAGCACTCCAGCGGTTGCGGAAATGTCAGAAGGCGGTGATGGACAGGAACGAGTCGATCGAGCTGGAACCCAAACCGGAACTGGGGCGTCCTGTGGAAACACACAAATGGCTCCTCGAGCCTGCCTAATAACTGGGTCTGGGCCCTTCCATTTGGACTCCAGAACATCCTTCCACTTGACCCAAGATTGCTCTTGCGCCGTGTTGAGGGAATGACGATCTGCAGCACTGAGGCCTTTCTCATCCAGCTGTAAAAAATTGATGGTGAAGAGAGCCAGGGCTAGAGTGGCCCGAGGGCTCTGACTGGCGAGACAAAGTGATTCCCAGGTGGTTTTTTGTTTTTGCAACAATTCCTTAATAGAGCGATGAGCACGTTCGATTATTCCCTGACCTTGTGGATTATAAGGAATGCCAGTCACTAATTTGACACTCATTTTCTGCATTACACGTGCCACAAAATCACCAAAGGGCTCATCCGGCTCCTGTTTAACCTGTGTGATGCCCAATTTCTCTTGCCCTTTAAGTGAAAGGGCCTTCCAAGCTTTTATAGCTGCAGTAGAAATTTGAGTATATACTGGCCATGGATATCTATTTTGATCATCAGAGTATTGGCCTTGTCCGGAAAGCATATTATAAGTCCACGTCAAAGCTTCGCCGCCGCGCTGTTGATTTGCACGGGTGGTCTCAGCCAAAAGCTCTTGCCATAGGCCCTTCCAATTTAGATATGATCCCATATTAGGGAGAACAGCCTTCACCACAAATTGCCAATCAGAGGGGGTCATATTCATTCCCCCCATACGTTCTAACAGGGACAAAGTGTAATTGGCATGAAGACCATATTGCTTTACAGACATGGCCAATTCTCGCACTAATGATGCATCTACCTGTCTGTAAACTCTTTCCCTTTCTTGTTCTAAGACGGGGAACATATTTTGAAGTTCCCGGCGCGTGGCTGCATCGATGAAGGAAGAGCCGGCACCATAACTCATGGGCGAGGCAGATGGCGTCACAGGAGGAGGAGCCATTAGTGAAATGGCTCCAGAGCCCTGAGGCCATGGGCCGCGCGTGGCCGGCGCAGTAGCACTGCCATTATCTTTCTTCTTTTCTAATCCTCGTCTGTTTCCTGCAGGTTTACGTTCTAAGCGCCTATCCCACTTGTACCCTTCCTCAGCGTCGGAAGTCTCCGAACTTGATGAGGAAGATCCCGCTTTCAGTTTCACCTTTATTTTTTGCTTCAAACCGGTTCTCCTCTCCCGCTCTGTTTCTGAGAGACTATCCTGGGCAGACTGAAGGGCTTTGTCACTCTCTCTGACCGCTCCCTTACAGCGGGCATAAACCATCTGCAAAAATTTCACCAGAGAGACCTGTGCGCCCATGTCTATAACCAGAAGCGGCGGCTCATATACCTCCGATTTATGCTCCCAGTCACCCGAAAGTTCTCCCTCTCAGAGCTCCTTACCTGTTTTTGGCCGCAGTTCTGACTTCGTCCCGTTCAAAACGGGAGGCCCCCTCCAGGTCCCGGGTTTCGGCACCAGTTGTCGCGCCCACGTGTCTTACCGCCCAGCAATAAGACGCAGACGCGAGTGAAGTCTTCTGCGGTAAAATTTATTGTGCACAGCAAGATGAGGAGGAAAGAGGCTCCGACCCCGGCAGGCTTTCTGCTCTTATGTGCTGTCTGGCCCCGCCTCTGCCGATGATAGGTCGGCGTCATGATTACGCAGGGTTCTGGGCGACTGGATTCGTCAGTCCCAGTGTTTACGTGCCTGCCGCGCCGCAGCTCACTGCGCATGCGCTAGGCGCCAGCGCAGTACTGCGAAAGCTACGTGACTCTCCACCAAACACCAAGATGTGGCTTCTCTGGCCGGCGCCATTTTGGGTACGGCATGTGGCCAGTACATACAGATATGGCTGGCAACACCTGCTGTGGATGCTGTGGGCACACTCCCGGTGACAGAGAGGAGGGCTCCAGGCTGCACTGCTCAGAGCTTTCCACTGCCTGAGGCTTTACACATGCTGTCCTGATTGAACCCACAGCACGGGGCACGTGTGGGGTGTGGGTCCCCGGGACACAGGGCCTGTATGATGTGTGGGGAGTGGGGCCTGTGTGGTCTGTGTGTCCCTGGGGCACCAGGCCACCTTGGGAGGGGGACAACTGCTGTCCCTCCCAGCTGAGTGGGCCCTCCAGCAAGGAGAGACGAGGGTGGGAGTGTCCTGGGCTGGGTGAGGGAGGGCTAAGGCAGAAGCTCCTGGCCTAGGCAAGGGGACCCAGTGGAAGGTCAGGCTCTGGGGGTCCTAGCTCAGCAGGGAGACCCTGGGCTGCTGTGACACACACTCAGCAGAGCTGAACCTGTACAATACCCACCTGCACCCCAGAGCGTGGACCCCAGGTGGGCAGGACCCCAGTGACCCACATGCAGAACAAAACTGGCCAGGCCATCCTGCCCCGAGGTCACCAGCCCGGGGACAGGCCCTGGAACCAGGAGCCCCACAGGTGGCCTGGGCAGGACCCCCAGGAGTCAGGTCACTGGGCTGGCTGCCCCAGCGTGGTCTGACCTCTGCACCAGGGCCAGTTCCTGGGAGCAGCGGCTTGGGAGGTGGAGGTGTCCCTCAGGGAAGGGTTGTGTTGCCTGCTGCAAGGGGACATTGCACTGAGAGGTGGCAGGGGCCTGACCTGTGTCCCCTAGGGGGATGGCCTGGCAGGGGGTAGGGCCTATCCTGTGTCCCCTAGGGGGTGGGACCTGGGTGGTATTAGAGCCTGTCCTCCTGGGCAATGGGGCCTGGCAAGGGGCGGGACCTGTCTTCTGGCCTCGACCTGTCCTCTGGCCTCCTGTGTGATGAGCCTGGCAGGGGGTGGGGCCTGCCCAGCTGGTGTCCCAGGGTCCCCACATTCTGAGAGAGAGTTCACAGGCACCCCCTGTACTCTGCGCTGGTGAGGCTGGCCCAGACTCCACCCTGCAGCTCTTGGCTGCGTTGGGGCCCCATGCGGTCAGGTGGGAAGGTTCCTGGGGACCCCCTGTGTCCCCAGTCCCAGGGGCCCTCTGCTAGCACTGCTGGCCTCTGGCCTGATGTCCACTTCTGCCCTCCTGCAGGCTGGGGGGAGGAAAACAGTGATGCAGGAAGTGGGGTCCACCTATCCAGCAGAGGGGAGCCCTCCCAGGACCGGCCTCTCAAGACCCCAGCAGGTGCGGGGATCAGACAGGCCCCCCAGGTTGAAGGTTGTGGGGCCCCCACTCCATGTTCTGCTTGCACCAGAGGCCAGCTGGCCCTGACACACCCTCACAGACGCGCACACATGGACACAGGCAGCAGGGCTAACTCAACAGAGCCGGGGCTGGGAGGTGCCGAGCCGAGGTCCCCGGGGCAGGGGAGGGTGCTCACACAGGGACACACAGCCACGTGTGTACACACGTGCTCCAGCACAGACACGCACCCACAGTAGCCCTCCAGTTGGCCCGGACGGAGCCTGGAACCTTCCTGGTGGTTTGCAAGAAGGGACAGTCCATCCAGGACCTGCCCAGCCTGGGAGTGGCCTGTGGGAGGCCAGGAAGCCGCCCCCAGCCCACTTCCTGTGCAAAGCGCGGTGATCCTCCCCTCCCACACCCCGGCTTCCACAGCCTGCTGAACCTTGGCCGGGAACGGTGACCAAACAGCTCCAACCACACACAGACACGGCCTTTCAGCCTGAGTTTATTACGGGAAAGCCAAGCAGCGACAGACTCGGAGAATAAATACGAAGCAGGTGCAGGGCGCGGCGGGCGGCAGGTGGCGGAGGCGGCGGGCAGCGGCGCGGCGGGCTCACTGTCCGCTCAGCAGGCGGGGCACGGAGCGCCGGCTGCGCCGCTCGCACGTGGACTCCTGGCAGAGGCAGCTGTCCACGTGCGTGTAGGTGTAGGCCATCTGCTTGCCATTGGGGCAGTCCAGCTGCACCTGGCGCTGGCTGGTCTTGTACTCCCGGCAGCACGAGCACCGGGATTCCGTGAGTTTGGCGCTGCTGGAGTACCTGGGGTGGGGGACACGGGCAGGTGAGGCCGCGCCCCGCGCCCCGCGCCCCGCGCGCCCCAGCCCGCCCCGGCGCAGCGCGCACCTGGCGAAGGTCCCGCAGGAGCCGGAGCAGTCGTTGACCGTCACGTTCTTGCTGCAGCCGGAGGAGGAGAGCTCCAAGACAACCGGCACGGTGGAGCAGGGCGCCTCGGTCTGGTTGAGAGGGGTGCCTGGAGGGAGGAAGGCAGAAGCTCAGGGCAGGGGCATCCCGCACCCCCAAATCCGGCAGCCCTCCCCGGGGGCGGGGCCGCACTCACATTGCTGGCAGCAGCCGTCGGCCATGAGCGAGATGGAACCCTGCAAGAGAGAGGACAGTGAGGCAGGACGCCCGGCCCGCCCCGCGCGGGGAGCAGCGGGGACCCCTCTCTCTGGCCCCTGGCACCCGGCAAGGGCCACTCACGGGGGCGCAGCTGCTGGGGTCGAACTCGGGACAGGTGATATTGGACAGCGACGAGATGAGCTGGTCGTGGATCTTCACGCAGCTGAAGAACGTGCATCTGTTCTCGGGGTCCTGATGTACCTCCCCGGGCTGTGGGCAAAGCAGCGACGGCGTGAAGGGGTGCGTGGGGAGGGTCCTGGGAGCGTCAGGGTGCGGGCTGGGGCGGGGGAGGGACGTGTTGGGCTGCAGGCCGAATCGGGGTGTGCGGTAGGGTGAGGGAGTGGGGGCTTGTTGGGGTGTGTTGGGGTATGTGGGGGTAGGTCGTGTTGGGGTGCGGGTGTGTTTGGATGCGTCGGAAGTGGGGCCAGTGTCCGGCAGAGCTGTGGTGGCGGGGCATGTCCGGGCACCACCGGGGCCCCAGCACCCACTGCCAACTTCCCGGGCAGTAAGAGGGCCTCGGCCTGTGGAGGCGAGGCCGGCTGCCAGCGTGGACCCCGAGCCTCAGTGAGGGGCAGCAGAGGGGCCACTGGCACGGAGGGGACACCTCACGGGGCAGACACAGGCAGCGGCTGGTGAGCCAGGGGCGGGGCCCACCTTGAGGACCAGGTACGGGCTGTCCGGCACTTGGATGATACAGTGGGTCTGTTCGCACTTCTGGCAGCATTCTCCAGGGACGTCCACGGGCTCGAACCCCTACACACACGGACACAGTCCCCGCTGAGCCCTGCCAAGTTCCCGGGGTCCTGGGCGGGCTCCAACTGCTCCTCCGCGAGAGGGGGAGTGGCCGGGGCAGGGGTCGGAGGGCAGGGCAGGGGGGCACTGAGGCTGGGGCGGGGCGGGCTAGGGCATCTGCTCACAGGGCTGCAGGAGACGTTGCAGGGCACTGGGGAGCAGGAGATGACGTTGAGGCCACTGCTGTCCTGGCTGCCGGTGCACACGCAGTTCTGGCACTTGGATGAGTACACTGGGGAGCCGGGCTTCAGGCACAGGCACAGTGGTGAGCCGGCCAGCAGGACGCGCTAGCCCCATCCCCACCCGAGGGGACACCTCCCCCACCCGAGGGGACTCCATCCCCACCCGAGGGGACCCCATCCCCACCAAAGGGGACTCCATCCCCACCCGAGGGGACACCATCCCCCACCAGAGGGGACCCCATCCCCACCCTAGGGGACACCATCCCCCACCAGAGGGGACCCCATCCCCACCAGAGGGGACCCCATCCCCACCCTAGGGGACACCATCCCCCACCAGAGGGGACCCCATCCCCACCCTAGGGGACACCATCCCCCACCCGAGGGGACCCCATCCCCACCCGAGGGGACCCCATCCCCACTCGGTGCTGGCTCACCTGGTACTCAGCTTTCTCGTGGACGCACACACCCTTGGGAACTTGGGGGTTGCAAGAGATTAAGATGGCAGGTCATCAGGTGTGGTCCTCAGGCCGATGGACCCCAGATGGGCAGCACCCAAGGACGTGGACCCCAGGGCATGGACCCCAGGTGGGCAGGACCCCAGGGCATGGACCCCAGGTGGGCAGGTCCCCAGGGCATGGACCCCCAGTGGGCAGGACCCCAGGGCATGGACCCCCGGTGGGCAGGACCCCAGGGCATGGACCCCAGACAGCGTCACTCACCACATTCGTACACAGGACAGCACCGTCCGCTCACAATGCGGCTCTTGGGCTCAAAGCCCAGGGAGCAGGTGGGCAGCTCCTGGCCACACAGGCTGGCGTTGCACTCTGGGGAGGGGGGAGGCACACGGGTGAGGGCGGCACCTGGGTCATGGCCCCACTCCAGGTTCCCAGGGCACCCAGCACCCCCGACATAGGCGGCCCCATGGGGACACAGCCCTGCCTGCTCTGCCCACACCCGGCAGCCCCTCCATACAGGCCCTGCCCACTCTGCCCGTGCCCGGGGGTCTTACTGCAGGAGGTGAGGGTACAGCAGGTGTCGGCGGGGTTGACCTCAGTAACCAGGTAGGTGCCCTCCTCCGTGCAGGCCGTGGGGCCCTCCTGGCTGCACTCCTTGGCCTGGCACACGATCCCGCTGCCGCCCTCCAGGCACACACAGTCATTGCAGGCAAATTCAAAGCGCTCCCCAAACTGCAGGGAGAAAGGCAGGTCGGTGGGTGCAGGTGCTGGATGGCTGGGACAGGATGGACAGGCAGGCAGGTGGAGGGACAGGTGCAAGGGAGGTGCCCCAGGGAGTGAGTCGGGGCTGTCCCAGCCAGCTCAGCCTCGGACAGGCTGACTCGGTGCCCTGGGGGCTCCCAGCTCACCCCCGTCCGGCAGGGTCTGCACGCCCCTGCGCCTACCTCTCTGGGCACGCTGTCCGGTCCCACGCAGCCTGTGGAGGGAAGAGCGAAGTTAGCGTGACCGGCGTCCCAGGCGGCAGCGGCTCACTGGCCCTGCGGCCCCAGGCAGGGACAGTTAAACAAGTGCCCTACCGCAGGTCTTCACACACACGTCATAGCCAGGTGCGAAGTTCATGGTTCCCTCAGGACAGAAGCAGCCTTCCACCAGGCGCGTGGAGTTCTGCGGGGTGCTATGGGACAGAGGTGCAGCGTGTGAGGGAGGGACTGGGGAGGGGCGCGGCTGTTGGGTGTAGTCTCTGTGGATGGGGGCCAGCCAGACTCCCATCCTGGCAGATTCCTACCCAGACTGGCAGGTGGGCTCCTCCGGGGGTCCACAGGCCTGGTACTCCCTGTGAGACGGGCAGGTCACCGCTGCAGGAAAGAGGCACACATGAGGGCCACACCCTGGGCAGCCCCTGGAGTGGCAGTGCCGCCCACCTCGCCTCGGTGCCCTGGAGTCAGCGCGCCCAGGCTTCCGTGTGACTGTCCCCCGCACACTCACGGCAGGCGTCGCCGGTGTGGTGCCGCCAGTCCACACAGAAGCCCTCTTGTGCACACAGGGCGGCGTAGATCTGCAGGCTGGCGCACTCCAGCCTGGCGTCCGGCACAAAGCAGGTGTCATACACGCAGGCCTCGTAGTAGTGCTTGGGCGGTACCAAGGCGTGGCACCCGGCGAACAGGCTGCATGGGGAAGCCAGAGTCACACATGCTCTGCCCAGGAAGCCCGCCTGTCCTGCTGCTTGGCCCCCAGGAGCCCAGCTTAGGCCCCCAGCAACGGCAGAGGAGTAAGACAGGGCTTGAGGGAGGCGCTGCCTGCAAACCCACCCCCACTGGGCAGCAGGTACTTAAACCCTCTCCTGTGCCAACTGTCCCCTGACCTGCCCGTCCAGCTGGGGCCCTGAGAGGGCACAGGGGTGTTGCTCTGTGACCCAGCCCCGCCTTGGGCCTCGCCCCCTCCCTGGGGCCCTGGGAGATGAGACAGAGGCCACAGCCAGGCCGGGCAGGGTCACCTGTCCTGGATGAGCTGGCACACAGGGGACCCAGTGCAGTTCTTGGGTGGCGCCCTGCTCGCCTGCGTGGTCACAGCTGGGCTCTGGGTGGTGAAGGCACCTGGAGTGCATTGTGGCTTGGAGGGGTCCGCCACCACCCACTCGTCAGCTGCCACCTCGCAGTTGGAGATGACTTCGCCACTGGGCAGCATGCAGTCATCCGCTGTGTTGTTGGTGCAGGTGCCTGGTGGGCGGAGAGGGGTGACGAGGCCGTGAGGTGCCAGAGACAGAGCCCGGCCACCTGCCCGGATCAGTGGGCCAAACAGAGCCCGGTGTCCCCCTCCAAGGGCAGCCCGGCTGATGGCTGCAGCAGCCTGAGCAGAGCGGCTGGAGACCGGGTGCCCTCGGCAGACACGGCCCGCTCCCAGGGCAGGGGGTGTGCGGGCCACGAAGGGCCCAGGGCGGAGTGGGGGAAAGTGCGGTGCTTACCGCACTGTCCCTTGGTGTTGTTGCCAAACAGACGGTAGGGCAGCTGGACGGAGAAGGTGAGGCCGTTGTAGGTGACGACGACGCCCAGCTCGGGCACCTCCACCACGATGTTGATGCCCGACTCGTACACCTGCAGCCCGAACTTCTTGTAGGGTAGCGCCACCATCTGCCTGTTGACCTGAACCTGTGGCCAGCGGGGGTCAGCGTCAGTGTAGGGGCTTCCCCGGCCCTGCCCACAGGGACGAGGCGGACTCTTGCCCAGCCGGTCCCAGGCGTGAGTCGGGGCAGACCCCGCCCAGTCCCTGGGCCACAGGCGCCTGCGGGTCCCCACCGGGCCAGCGGGAGCAGCTGGCCGTGTCCACGCACCTGCACCTCGATGGGCATCATGTTTACAGTTCGGATCTGCACCTCCTGCGTCTCGTGGCGCACCACGAGCGTGCGGGGACAGGACACCTTGTCCCTTTCGTCGCAGTGGTAGTTGTCGATGTAGACCCCGAAGTTGTCCACCGTAGGCACGATCTCCTCCACCAGCACGTATGTGCAGTTGCCCTGGTAGCTGTAGTACAGCCCGTCGAAGGTGACGTAGTGTGGGTCTCCCCAGCCCGTGCAGAAGCCTGCGGAGGCGCCGGGTGAGCATGGGAAGGCAGGATGAGCCTCGCCCACTGGGCTCCCCAGCCCTGCCCCTCCGACTCGGCAGCCCCCAGCCCCGGTGCTCGCCGGGGTGAGCCGTGCAGAAGCCCCCCGATGCGAGCGGCGTGGACGGGCGGCACTCACAGTCACACTCCCAGTGCCAGCAGCAGCCATCCTCGTCCAGGACGCGCACGGGCTTGAGGCCGTTGGAGCAGGTGGGTGGGGGTGGGGGCTCGCACTTGACCTCCACTATCTCCACCGTGTTGTCGTCACGGCACACGGCCTTGGTGCAGTTGCACAGCCACCAGGACTCGTTCTCCTGTGATGGGAGGGCTGGTCATGGCAGCTCGGGGTGGGGCTGGGGCAGTGCCGGGTGCCCTGGAGGCCGGGACGCCCACACAGGGGCACACTCACCTCCCTGGGAGGGTTAAAATCAGGGCACCCCGGCTTCTTGGTGGTTGTCGGCTTGGAGGTGCTGGTGGTGGAGGTGGTGGTGGGAGAGGACGTGGTCGTGGTGGGAGAGGCGATGATGATGGACGTGGGGGTGGAGGGAATGGGGGTGGTGGTGGGAGAGAGGGTGGTAGAAGTGGGGGTGGTGGTGGGAGCCGGGGTGGGAATGGTAGTGCCTGTCGTGGAAGTGGGGGTGGAGGTGGGAGTGGGGGTGGTGGAAGTGGGGGTGCTGGTGCTGGTGGGCGTGGGCGTCGGGGAGGTTGTGGGAGAGGGGGAGGACGGGCAGGACCAGTTGAAGTACTGGATGGTGCAATCGACCGAGCAGTTGGCATAGTAGCAGTGGTCACCTTTCTTGCCGCTGTACACCTCTTCACCTGCAGGGGCAGAGACGCCGAGCTCTTATGCCACCACCTGTTCCTGGGACACTGGGATGTCCCCTCCTTCCCAGCCTGTACCCTGGGCGAGGGGGTTCCAGCCCTGCAGGGTGGTGCTGGCCCTGGAGACGTCCCCTTCCCTGACGTGGACCTTGGCCCCGGTTCCTGCCCCATCGCTGACCCAGGTACCTGGGGAGTAGTAGGTGACGTTGTTGCTGGCGGTGTCGTTCACGATGCAGCAGTAGATCTGGGTGGAGGAGCTGACCCCGCTGGTGCTGCCCGTGCCCGTGCTGATGACCACGGTGGGAGAGGAAATGGGGGTGACCGTGGTGGATTGAATTGGTGTCGGGGTGGTCCTGCTGGTGATCTTGGAGGTGGTGGGGCTGCCTGTAGAAACTGAAACAGGAAGGCCAATGGCATCTGTCACTCTGGGTGCTGCAGAGGACCTGAACCACCCACTTGGGCAGTGAGAGGTGAGGGCAGGACCAGAGCAGGGAGGAGCAGGGCCAGAAGGTGAGGAGGGGTGAGACCTGAGCAGTGAGGGGGGGACCTGAGCAGTGAAGGGGGGACCTGAGCAGTGAAGGGGGGACCTGAGCAGTGAGGGGGGGACCTGAGCAGTGAAGGGGGGAACCTAAGCAGTGAAGGGGGGGCCTGAGCAGTGAGGGGGAACCTAAGCAGTAAGGGGGGACCTGAGCAGTGAGGGGGGGACCTGAGCAGTAAGGGGGTAACCTGAGCAGTGAGAGAGGGGCCTGAGCAGTGAGGGGGGGACCTGAGCAGTAAGGGGGTAACCTGAGCAGTGAGGGAGGGGCCTGAGCAGTGAGGGGGGAACCTGAGCAGTGAGGGGTGGGACCACAGGTTTGCCAGCCCCCCAGACCGGAGGAACCACCAAAAACCTGAGGTTGTGGGGCTGCGAGAATGACGAGAGAGGGGATAGCTGGGCAGGGGTTCATCTGAGAGGGCCAGACTAGCTACCATCCAGGTGGCCAACCTCTGGCACACATGCCCTGACGTCTCCAAAGAGAGGACAGAGGGGAGGCTCTGGTAGCTCCTCAAGGCAGTCTCCAACCCAGGCCTGGCATCCCACAGCACTGGGGCTAGCCGAGATGGGCTGTCTACAGGCTGTCAACCAGAGCAGGGGTGAGGAACAGTGGCATTCCTTTGGTAGCACCCACATGGACCCATTGTGCCTGCACTGGGTGGACCAAAGTGCGAAGGACCGGCTCGGCCGGGAAGAGGCACCCAAGGTTCACTCACCTGGCAGCGCTGTGGTTGTAAAGACAACAGATCCGGTCCCAACTGTGGCGGTGGTGGGTGTTGCGGTGGAGATCTCAGTGGTGGTGATGGGAGTTGTGGTTGGAGACACAGTGTGTGTGGTAGTAGGTGTGGAGAGGGTGGGTGTTGTGGTAGAGATCTCAGTGGTGGTGGTGGCTGTTGGGGTTGGGGTCTCACTCCTGGCGGCGGTGGTGGGTATGGTGGGTGTTATGGGTGGAGTTGTGGTTGGGCTGGAGGTGGCAGTGTGTGTGGGTATGGTGTTGGGTGTTGTGCTTGTGGTCTCAGTAATGATAGTGGTGGGTGTTGTGGTTGAGATTTCAGTAGTGGCTGTGGTGGTGTGTGTTTTGAGCGTAGTGGTTGCAGTTGCGGTGGTAGTGGATGTGGTGGAGGGAGTTGTGCTTGGGGTCTCAGTGGGTATGGTAGTGGGTGTGGAGGTGGTGGGTGTTGTGTTAGAGATCTCAGTGGTTGTGGTGGGTGTTGGTGTTGGGGTCTCAGTGGTGGTGGTGGTGGGTGTGGTGGTGTGTGTTTTGGGCGTAGTGGTTGCAGTTGAGGTGGTAGTGGATGTGGTGGAGGGAGTTGTGATTGGCGTCTCAGTGGGTCTGGTGGTGGGTGTGGTGGTGGTGTGTGTTGTGGTGGAGATCTCAGTGGTGGCGGTGGGTGTTTGAGTTGGTGTCTCACTGCTCTTGGGGGTGGTGGGTGTGGTAGTTGTTATGGGTGTTGTGGTTGGGCTGGAGGTGGCAGTGTGTGTGGGTGTGGTGTTGGGTGTTGTGGTTGGGGTCTCAGTGCTGGTGGTGGTGGTGGTGGGTGTGGAAGTGTGTGTTTTGGGCGTAGTGGTTGGGCTGGAGGTGGTAGTGGGTGTGGTGGTATGAGCTGTGCTTGAGGTCTCAGTGGGTATGGTAGTGGGTGTGGAGGTGGTGGGTGTTGTGGTGGAGATCTCAGTGGTTGTAGTGGGTGTTGGTGTTGGGGTCTCAGTGGTAGAGGTGGTGGGTGTGGTGGTGTGTGTTTTGGGCGTAGTGGTTGCAGTTGAGGTGGTAGTGGATGTGGTGGAGGGAGTTGTGATTGGGGTCTCAGTGGGTGTGGTGGTGGTGTGCGTTGTGGTGGAGATCTCAGTGGTGGCGGTGGGTGTTTGAGTCGGTGTCTCACTGCTCTTGGTGGTGGTGGGTGTGGTAGTTGTTATGGGTGTTGTGGTTGGGCTGGAGGTGGCAGTGTGTGTGGGTGTGGTGTTGGGTGTTGTGGTTGGGGTCTCAGTGCTGGTGGTGGTGGTGGTGGGTGTGGAAGTGTGTGTTTTGGGCGTAGTGGTTGGGCTGGAGGTGGTAGTGGGTGTGGTGGTATGAGCTGTGCTTGAGGTCTCAGTGGGTATGGTAGTGGGTGTGGAGGTGGTGGGTGTTGTGGTGGAGATCTCAGTGGTTGTGGTGGGTGTTGGTGTTGGGGTCTCAGTGGTAGAGGTGGTGGGTGTGGTGGTGTGTGTTTTGGGCGTAGTGGTTGCAGTTGAGGTGGTAGTGGATGTGGTGGAGGGAGTTGTGATTGGGGTCTCAGTGGGTGTGGTGGTGGTGTGCGTTGTGGTGGAGATCTCAGTGGTGGCGGTGGGTGTTTGAGTCGGTGTCTCACTGCTCTTGGTGGTGGTGGGTGTGGTAGTTGTTATGGGTGTTGTGGTTGGGCTGGAGGTGGCAGTGTGTGTGGGTGTGGTGTTGGGTGTTGTGGTTGGGGTCTCAGTGCTCTTGCTGGTGGTGGGTGTGGAGGTGGTGTGTGTTGTAGTGGAGATTTCAGTGGTGGTGGTGGGTGTTGGGGTTGGTGTCTCAGTGGTGGTGGTGGGTGTCGGGGTTGGGGTCTCAGTGGTGGTGGTGGGTGTTGTGGTGGAGGTCCTTGTCGTGCTTTCTGTTGCGGTGGTGGTACACTCTGTCATCTCTATCCATTTACAGCAGAGCACGTTGATCTCGTAGTTCATGCAGTAGGGCTGGGGGAAGGGCCGTCCTCCGGGCACCTGGTCCTTATTCCTGCACACCAGTCCGTCATGGCGGTTGCACACCACAGTCTGTCCAAGCTGGTCCAGTGGCAGGCTGGGAAACATGGCAGATCTGCAGGAGATGTTCTTTGCAAAAGAGGGTGGTGCACAGACACTTTCCACGGTTTCATTATCTCCACCTTCTTGGGTAAACTCAGGCTTGCCAGAATCGTGCCAGCCAGTCCATTCACATACTTTCTGCGGATGACATGTAATATGTGTTGTAGTGGGTGTTGTGATTGTGGTCTCAGTGGCTGTGTGGGTGGTGGTAGGTGTTGTGGTTGCACTGGAGGTGGTAGTAGGTGTGGTGGTGCTGGGTGGAGTTGTGGTTGGGGTCTCAGTGGGGTAGGTGGTGAGTGTGGACGTGGTGGGTGTTGTGTTGGAGATCTCAGTGATGGTGGTGGGTGTTGCGGTTGGGGTCTCAGTGCTGGTGGTGGTGGTGGTGGGTGTGGAAGTGTGTGTTTTGGGCGTAGTGGTTGGGCTGGAGGTGGTAGTGGGTGTGGTGGTATGAGCTGTGCTTGAGGTCTCAGTGGGTATGGTAGTGGGTGTGGAGGTGGTGGGTGTTGTGGTGGAGATCTCAGTGGTTGTGGTGGGTGTTGGTGTTGGGGTCTCAGTGGTAGAGGTGGTGGGTGTGGTGGTGTGTGTTTTGGGCGTAGTGGTTGCAGTTGAGGTGGTAGTGGATGTGGTGGAGGGAGTTGTGATTGGCGTCTCAGTGGGTGTGGTGGTGGGTGTGGAGGTGGTGTGTGTTGTGGTGGAGATCTCAGTGGTGGCGGTGGGTGTTTGAGTTGGTGTCTCACTGCTCTTGGTGGTGGTGGGTGTGGTAGTTGTTATGGGTGTTGTGGTTGGGCTGGAGGTGGCAGTGTGTGTGGGTGTGGTGTTGGGTGTTGTGGTTGGGGTCTCAGTGCTCTTGCTGGTGGTGGGTGTGGAGGTGGTGTGTGTTGTAGTGGAGATCTCAGTGGTGGTGGTGGGTGTTGGGGTTGGTGTCTCAGTGGTGGTGGTGGGTGTCGGGGTTGGGGTCTCAGTGGTGGTGGTGGGTGTTGTGGTGGAGGTCCTTGTCGTGCTTTCTGTTGCGGTGGTGGTACACTCTGTCATCTCTATCCATTTACAGCAGAGCACGTTGATCTCGTAGTTCATGCAGTAGGGCTGGGGGAAGGGCCGTCCTCCGGGCACCTGGTCCTTATTCCTGCACACCAGTCCGTCATGGCGGTTGCACACCACAGTCTGTCCAAGCTGGTCCAGTGGCAGGCTGGGAAACATGGCAGATCTGCAGGAGATGTTCTTTGCAAAAGAGGGTGGTGCACAGACACTTTCCACGGTTTCATTATCTCCACCTTCTTGGGTAAACTCAGGCTTGCCAGAATCGTGCCAGCCAGTCCATTCACATACTTTCTGCGGATGACATGTAATATGTGTTGTAGTGGGTGTTATGATTGTGGTCTCAGTGGCTGTGTGGGTGGGTATGGAGGTGGTAGGTGTTGTGGTTGCACTGGAGGTGGTAGTGGGTGTGGTGGTGCTGGGTGGAGTTGTGGTTGGGGTCTCAGTGGGGTAAGTGGTGAGTGTGGAGGTGGTGGGTGTTGTGTTGGAGATCTCAGTGATGGTGGTGGGTGTTGCGGTTGGGGTCTCAGTGCTGGTGGTGGTGGTGGTGGGTGTGGAAGTGTGTGTTTTGGGCGTAGTGGTTGGGCTGGAGGTGGTAGTGGGTGTGGTGGTATGAGCTGTGCTTGAGGTCTCAGTGGGTATGGTAGTGGGTGTGGAGGTGGTGGGTGTTGTGGTGGAGATCTCAGTGGTTGTGGTGGGTGTTGGTGTTGGGGTCTCAGTGGTAGAGGTGGTGGGTGTGGTGGTGTGTGTTTTGGGCGTAGTGGTTGCAGTTGAGGTGGTAGTGGATGTGGTGGAGGGAGTTGTGATTGGGGTCTCAGTGGGTGTGGTGGTGGTGTGCGTTGTGGTGGAGATCTCAGTGGTGGCGGTGGGTGTTTGAGTTGGTGTCTCACTGCTCTTGGTGGTGGTGGGTGTGGTAGTTGTTATGGGTGTTGTGGTTGGGCTGGAGGTGGCAGTGTGTGTGGGTGTGGTGTTGGGTGTTGTGGTTGGGGTCTCAGTGCTCTTGCTGGTGGTGGGTGTGGAGGTGGTGTGTGTTGTAGTGGAGATCTCAGTGGTGGTGGTGGGTGTTGGGGTTGGTGTCTCAGTGGTGGTGGTGGGTGTCGGGGTTGGGGTCTCAGTGGTGGTGGTGGGTGTTGTGGTGGAGGTCCTTGTCGTGCTTTCTGTTGCGGTGGTGGTACACTCTGTCATCTCTATCCATTTACAGCAGAGCACGTTGATCTCGTAGTTCATGCAGTAGGGCTGGGGGAAGGGCCGTCCTCCGGGCACCTGGTCCTTATTCCTGCACACCAGTCCGTCATGGCGGTTGCACACCACAGTCTGTCCAAGCTGGTCCAGTGGCAGGCTGGGAAACATGGCAGATCTGCAGGAGATGTTCTTTGCAAAAGAGGGTGGTGCACAGACACTTTCCACGGTTTCATTATCTCCACCTTCTTGGGTAAACTCAGGCTTGCCAGAATCGTGCCAGCCAGTCCATTCACATACTTTCTGCGGATGACATGTAATATGTGTTGTAGTGGGTGTTGTGATTGTGGTCTCAGTGGCTGTGTGGGTGGTGGTAGGTGTTGTGGTTGCACTGGAGGTGGTAGTAGGTGTGGTGGTGCTGGGTGGAGTTGTGGTTGGGGTCTCAGTGGGGTAGGTGGTGAGTGTGGACGTGGTGGGTGTTGTGTTGGAGATCTCAGTGATGGTGGTGGGTGTTGCGGTTGGGGTCTCAGTGCTGGTGGTGGTGGTGGTGGGTGTGGAAGTGTGTGTTTTGGGCGTAGTGGTTGGGCTGGAGGTGGTAGTGGGTGTGGTGGTATGAGCTGTGCTTGAGGTCTCAGTGGGTATGGTAGTGGGTGTGGAGGTGGTGGGTGTTGTGGTGGAGATCTCAGTGGTTGTGGTGGGTGTTGGTGTTGGGGTCTCAGTGGTAGAGGTGGTGGGTGTGGTGGTGTGTGTTTTGGGCGTAGTGGTTGCAGTTGAGGTGGTAGTGGATGTGGTGGAGGGAGTTGTGATTGGCGTCTCAGTGGGTGTGGTGGTGGGTGTGGAGGTGGTGTGTGTTGTGGTGGAGATCTCAGTGGTGGCGGTGGGTGTTTGAGTTGGTGTCTCACTGCTCTTGGTGGTGGTGGGTGTGGTAGTTGTTATGGGTGTTGTGGTTGGGCTGGAGGTGGCAGTGTGTGTGGGTGTGGTGTTGGGTGTTGTGGTTGGGGTCTCAGTGCTCTTGCTGGTGGTGGGTGTGGAGGTGGTGTGTGTTGTAGTGGAGATCTCAGTGGTGGTGGTGGGTGTTGGGGTTGGTGTCTCAGTGGTGGTGGTGGGTGTCGGGGTTGGGGTCTCAGTGGTGGTGGTGGGTGTTGTGGTGGAGGTCCTTGTCGTGCTTTCTGTTGCGGTGGTGGTACACTCTGTCATCTCTATCCATTTACAGCAGAGCACGTTGATCTCGTAGTTCATGCAGTAGGGCTGGGGGAAGGGCCGTCCTCCGGGCACCTGGTCCTTATTCCTGCACACCAGTCCGTCATGGCGGTTGCACACCACAGTCTGTCCAAGCTGGTCCAGTGGCAGGCTGGGAAACATGGCAGATCTGCAGGAGATGTTCTTTGCAAAAGAGGGTGGTGCACAGACACTTTCCACGGTTTCATTATCTCCACCTTCTTGGGTAAACTCAGGCTTGCCAGAATCGTGCCAGCCAGTCCATTCACATACTTTCTGCGGATGACATGTAATATGTGTTGTAGTGGGTGTTATGATTGTGGTCTCAGTGGCTGTGTGGGTGGGTATGGAGGTGGTAGGTGTTGTGGTTGCACTGGAGGTGGTAGTGGGTGTGGTGGTGCTGGGTGGAGTTGTGGTTGGGGTCTCAGTGGGGTAAGTGGTGAGTGTGGAGGTGGTGGGTGTTGTGTTGGAGATCTCAGTGATGGTGGTGGGTGTTGCGGTTGGGGTCTCAGTGCTGGTGGTGGTGGTGGTGGGTGTGGAAGTGTGTGTTTTGGGCGTAGTGGTTGGGCTGGAGGTGGTAGTGGGTGTGGTGGTATGAGCTGTGCTTGAGGTCTCAGTGGGTATGGTAGTGGGTGTGGAGGTGGTGGGTGTTGTGGTGGAGATCTCAGTGGTTGTGGTGGGTGTTGGTGTTGGGGTCTCAGTGGTAGAGGTGGTGGGTGTGGTGGTGTGTGTTTTGGGCGTAGTGGTTGCAGTTGAGGTGGTAGTGGATGTGGTGGAGGGAGTTGTGATTGGGGTCTCAGTGGGTGTGGTGGTGGTGTGCGTTGTGGTGGAGATCTCAGTGGTGGCGGTGGGTGTTTGAGTTGGTGTCTCACTGCTCTTGGTGGTGGTGGGTGTGGTAGTTGTTATGGGTGTTGTGGTTGGGCTGGAGGTGGCAGTGTGTGTGGGTGTGGTGTTGGGTGTTGTGGTTGGGGTCTCAGTGCTCTTGCTGGTGGTGGGTGTGGAGGTGGTGTGTGTTGTAGTGGAGATCTCAGTGGTGGTGGTGGGTGTTGGGGTTGGTGTCTCAGTGGTGGTGGTGGGTGTCGGGGTTGGGGTCTCAGTGGTGGTGGTGGGTGTTGTGGTGGAGGTCCTTGTCGTGCTTTCTGTTGCGGTGGTGGTACACTCTGTCATCTCTATCCATTTACAGCAGAGCACGTTGATCTCGTAGTTCATGCAGTAGGGCTGGGGGAAGGGCCGTCCTCCGGGCACCTGGTCCTTATTCCTGCACACCAGTCCGTCATGGCGGTTGCACACCACAGTCTGTCCAAGCTGGTCCAGTGGCAGGCTGGGAAACATGGCAGATCTGCAGGAGATGTTCTTTGCAAAAGAGGGTGGTGCACAGACACTTTCCACGGTTTCATTATCTCCACCTTCTTGGGTAAACTCAGGCTTGCCAGAATCGTGCCAGCCAGTCCATTCACATACTTTCTGCGGATGACATGTAATATGTGTTGTAGTGGGTGTTGTGATTGTGGTCTCAGTGGCTGTGTGGGTGGGTATGGAGGTGGTAGGTGTTGTGGTTGCACTGGAGGTGGTAGTGGGTGTGGTGGTGCTGGGTGGAGTTGTGGTTGGGGTCTCAGTGGGGTAGGTGGTGAGTGTGGAGGTGGTGGGTGTTGTGTTGGAGATCTCAGTGATGGTGGTGGGTGTTGCGGTTGGGGTCTCAGTGCTGGTGGTGGTGGTGGTGGGTGTGGAAGTGTGTGTTTTGGGCGTAGTGGTTGGGCTGGAGGTGGTAGTGGGTGTGGTGGTATGAGCTGTGCTTGAGGTCTCAGTGGGTATGGTAGTGGGTGTGGAAGTGGTGGGTGTTGTGGTGGAGATCTCAGTGGTTGTGGTGGGTGTTGGTGTTGGGGTCTCAGTGGTAGAGGTGGTGGGTGTGGTGGTGTGTGTTTTGGGCGTAGTGGTTGCAGTTGAGGTGGTAGTGGATGTGGTGGAGGGAGTTGTGATTGGCGTCTCAGTGGGTGTGGTGGTGGTGTGCGTTGTGGTGGTGTGTGTTGTGGTGGAGATCTCAGTGGTGGCGGTGGGTGTTTGAGTCGGTGTCTCACTGCTCTTGGTGGTGGTGGGTGTGGTAGTTGTTATGGGTGTTGTGGTTGGGCTGGAGGTGGCAGTGTGTGTGGGTGTGGTGTTGGGTGTTGTGGTTGGGGTCTCAGTGCTCTTGCTGGTGGTGGGTGTGGAGGTGGTGTGTGTTGTAGTGGAGATCTCAGTGGTGGTGGTGGGTGTTGGGGTTGGTGTCTCAGTGGTGGTGGTGGGTGTCGGGGTTGGGGTCTCAGTGGTGGTGGTGGGTGTTGTGGTGGAGGTCCTTGTCGTGCTTTCTGTTGCGGTGGTGGTACACTCTGTCATCTCTATCCATTTACAGCAGAGCACGTTGATCTCGTAGTTCATGCAGTAGGGCTGGGGGAAGGGCCGTCCTCCGGGCACCTGGTCCTTATTCCTGCACACCAGTCCGTCATGGCGGTTGCACACCACAGTCTGTCCAAGCTGGTCCAGTGGCAGGCTGGGAAACATGGCAGATCTGCAGGAGATGTTCTTTGCAAAAGAGGGTGGTGCACAGACACTTTCCACGGTTTCATTATCTCCACCTTCTTGGGTAAACTCAGGCTTGCCAGAATCGTGCCAGCCAGTCCATTCACATACTTTCTGCGGATGACATGTAATATGTGTTGTAGTGGGTGTTGTGATTGTGGTCTCAGTGGCTGTGTGGGTGGGTATGGAGGTGGTAGGTGTTGTGGTTGCACTGGAGGTGGTAGTGGGTGTGGTGGTGCTGGGTGGAGTTGTGGTTGGGGTCTCAGTGGGGTAGGTGGTGAGTGTGGACGTGGTGGGTGTTGTGTTGGAGATCTCAGTGATGGTGGTGGGTGTTGCGGTTGGGGTCTCAGTGCTGGTGGTGGTGGTGGTGGGTGTGGAAGTGTGTGTTTTGGGCGTAGTGGTTGGGCTGGAGGTGGTAGTGGGTGTGGTGGTATGAGCTGTGCTTGAGGTCTCAGTGGGTATGGTAGTGGGTGTGGAGGTGGTGGGTGTTGTGGTGGAGATCTCAGTGGTTGTGGTGGGTGTTGGTGTTGGGGTCTCAGTGGTAGAGGTGGTGGGTGTGGTGGTGTGTGTTTTGGGCGTAGTGGTTGCAGTTGAGGTGGTAGTGGATGTGGTGGAGGGAGTTGTGATTGGGGTCTCGGTGGGTGTGGTGGTGGTGTGTGTTGTGGTGGAGATCTCAGTGGTGGCGGTGGGTGTTTGAGTTGGTGTCTCACTGCTCTTGGTGGTGGTGGGTGTGGTAGTTGTTATGGGTGTTGTGGTTGGGCTGGAGGTGGCAGTGTGTGTGGGTGTGGTGTTGGGTGTTGTGGTTGGGGTCTCAGTGCTCTTGCTGGTGGTGGGTGTGGAGGTGGTGTGTGTTGTAGTGGAGATCTCAGTGGTGGTGGTGGGTGTTGGGGTTGGTGTCTCAGTGGTGGTGGTGGGTGTTGGGGACGGTGTCTCAGTGGTGGTGGTGGGTGTTGGGGTTGGTGTCTCAGTGGTGGTGGTGGGTGTTGTGGTGGAGGTCCTTGTCGTGCTTTCTGTTGCGGTGGTGGTACACTCTGTCATCTCTATCCATTTACAGCAGAGCACGTTGATCTCGTAGTTCATGCAGTAGTGCTGGGGGAAGGGCCGTCCTCCGGGCACCTGGTCCTTATTCCTGCACACCAGTCCGTCATGGCGGTTGCACACCACAGTCTGTCCAAGCTGGTCCAGTGGCAGGCTGGGAAACATGGCAGATCTGCAGGAGATGTTCTTTGCAAAAGAGGGTGGTGCACAGACACTTTCCACGGTTTCATTATCTCCACCTTCTTGGGTAAACTCAGGCTTGCCAGAATCGTGCCAGCCAGTCCATTCACATACTTTCTGCGGATGACATGTAATATGTGTTGTAGTGGGTGTTGTGATTGTGGTCTCAGTGGCTGTGTGGGTGGGTATGGAGGTGGTAGGTGTTGTGGTTGCACTGGAGGTGGTAGTGGGTGTGGTGGTGCTGGGTGGAGTTGTGGTTGGGGTCTCAGTGGGGTAAGTGGTGAGTGTGGAGGTGGTGGGTGTTGTGTTGGAGATCTCAGTGATGGTGGTGGGTGTTGCGGTTGGGGTCTCAGTGCTGGTGGTGGTGGTGGTGGGTGTGGAAGTGTGTGTTTTGGGCGTAGTGGTTGGGCTGGAGGTGGTAGTGGGTGTGGTGGTATGAGCTGTGCTTGAGGTCTCAGTGGGTATGGTAGTGGGTGTTGTGGTGATCTCAGTGGTTGTGGTGGGTGTTGGTGTTGGGGTCTCAGTGCTGGTGGTGGTGTGTGTTTTGGGCGTAGTGGTTGCAGTTGAGGTGGTAGTGGATGTGGTGGAGGGAGTTGTGATTGGCGTCTCAGTGGGTGTGGTGGTGGTGTGCGTTGTGGTGGTGTGTGTTGTGGTGGAGATCTCAGTGGTGGCGGTGGGTGTTTGAGTCGGTGCCTCACTGCTCTTGGTGGTGGTGGGTGTGGTAGTTGTTATGGGTGTTGTGGTTGGGCTGGAGGTGGCAGTGTGTGTGGGTGTGGTGTTGGGTGTTGTGGTTGGGGTCTCAGTGCTCTTGCTGGTGGTGGGTGTGGAGGTGGTGTGTGTTGTAGTGGAGATCTCAGTGGTGGTGGTGGGTGTTGGGGTTGGTGTCTCAGTGGTGGTGGTGGTTGTTGTGGCTGGTGTCTCAGTGGTGGTGGTGGGTGTTGTGGTGGAGGTCCTTGTCGTGGTTTTTGTTGTGGTGGTGGTGCATTGTGTCTGATTACAGCAGAGCACGTTGATCTCGTAGTTCATGCAGTAGGGCTGGGGGAAGGGCCGTCCTCCGGGCACCTGGTCCTTATTCCTGCACACCAGTCCGTCATGGAGGTTGCACACCACAGTCTGTCCAAGCTGGTCCAGTGGCAGGCTGGGAAACATGGCAGATCTGCAGGAGATGTTCTTTGCAAAAGAGGGTGGTGCACAGACACTTTCCACGGTTTCATTATCTCCACCTTCTTGGGTAAACTCAGGCTTGCCAGAATCGTGCCAGCCAGTCCACTGGCATTGTGGTGCACATGTAGTTGATGGAGTGATGGAGGGAGTTGGTGTTGAAGTAGAGGGTGTGGGTGTTGAAGAATATTCGGGTTTGGTGTGCGGGGTTGAATGTGTGTGTGTTGAAGTAGAAATGGTGGTGGAGATTGTAGAGGGTGTTGGTGTTGAACTAGAGAAGGTGGTGGAGGGGGTGGTTGTTGAAGTAGAGGGGGTGGTGGGCGGTGTGGATGGTGTTGGTGTAGAAGTAGAGAAGGGGGTGGTAGGCGGGGTTGAGGGAGTGACTGTTGAAGAGGATGGTGTGGTGTGCGGGGTTGAAGGTGCGTGTGTTGATGTGGAAGAGGTGGTGGAGTGGGTGGAGGGGGTTGGTGTTGACGTAGAGGGGGTGGTGGGTGATGTGGAGGGGGTTGGTGTTGACGTAGAGGGGGTGGTGGGTGATGTGGAGGGGGTTGGTGTTGACGTAGAGGGGGTGGTGGGTGATGTGGAGGGGGTTGGTGTTGACGTGGAGGGGGTGGTGGGTGGTGTGGAGGGTGTTGGTGTTGATGTGGAGGGGGTGGTGGGTGATGTGGAGGGGGTTGGTGTTGACGTGGAGGGGGTGGTGGGTGGTGTGGAGGGGGTTGGTGTTGATGTGGAGGGGGTGGTGGGTGATGTGGAGGGGGTTGGTGTTGACGTGGAGGGGGTGGTGGGTGATGTGGAGGGGGTTGGTGTTGACGTAGAGGGGGTGGTGGGTGATGTGGAGGGGGTTGGTGTTGACGTGGAGGGGGTGGTGGGTGATGTGGAGGGGGTTGGTGTTAACGTGGAGGGGGTGGTGGGTGATGTGGAGGGGGTTGGTGTTGACGTGGAGGGGGTGGGTGCTGAAGAGGAGGGTCTGCTGGTGGGTGAGGTGGAGACGGTGGACACTGAAGTGGCGTGTGTGGTGGAGGACGTAGTCGTTGGTGGCAGCGTTGTGGAGGTCGGACAGGTTCCGTGGGGCACACAGCATTTGACACGTATCTCATAGTCGTAGCAGAGCTCAAACACTCCTTTGCCATACTGATTGGCGTTCACACAGCTGAACCCCTGGGAGACGCTGCACTCCGCTTTCTGGTCCAGCTTTTCCCAGCTGAGGTGCGGTTCTGTGGCCGACCTACACTCGATGTCAACGGGCTTCTCGCACACGCTGTCGAACGCCTCATGGTCACCGCCGTCAGTGCCACTGGTCGGGTGGTCCTCATTGATCCAGTCAGACCACCAGCAGCACGTACCTGGGAACCAGAGCCACGTGGGACACCCAGCCCTGCGGCCACTGCCGCTCCCCTCCTGTGGTCACTGATGGACCTGGGCGTAGCCCGGGGCCCTGGAGCTGGCCCACATGCAGCTGGGCAGCTGAGACCCAGAAGGCAGGCCCACCAGCCCCCAGCCACACCCGTGTATGAGAGCCATGGGTGCCCCTTCCTCAGCTCAGGGTACAGGTCACGTGAGGGCGGCCCAGCTCAGGTGGCAAGCACAGGAGAGGGCTCTGCCTCCACTCCTGACCTGCACGGCAAACGGTGAACAGAGTCCCCAGTACCCACTGGACCCCGGGCAGCATGGACCCCTGCATGCCCGGCGTGCCCTGTGTGCCACTCACCATTTGACGTCGTGGGAACTGTAACAGAGGCAGGGGGAGGGAAAAGGCCGTCATTACATGGTCACATGTTCCTTATCCCCTCCCCTGCCCGGCCTCCCCTTCCCCTGGCAGCTTTTTCAGCAGGGGCCATGGTGCCCACCAGAACCACTGCCCAGGGATGGGAGGCACTTGGACCAACTCCCTCAACACTAACACAGGGGACCCAACTATGCCAGCGAGGTGTGTGTGGCTGGGGGCATACCTGAGCTGCTGGTGCTGCTGGTGGTGCTGGTGCTGGTGCTGGTGAGGAGGGTGCTGGGCGTGGCAGGGGTGCTGGTGTGGGTGATCGGCGACGGGGTGGACACGCAGACATTGAAATGCTGATACACTGTCCCGTTGGGGCCGCAGATGTCCCAGAAGCAGAACCCGCGGTCCTGTGTCTGGTTGACAACCTTCCCTGGGGACAGCAGCATGCCAACCGCCGGTCAGCAAGGCGGGCAGAGAGGACCGTCCCCAGGGGTGCAGGCACAGACAGAACCACTGGGAATCACCAGGAATGCAGAGTGCCAGGGAGGCCCCGCCCCCAGGCTCTCCAGGCCCCGCCCAGGTCCTCCCTGACCCCGCCTCCAGGCTCCTCAGGCCCCGCCTCCTGGCCTGGGTGCTCAGCTCACCTTCCTCCCACTGGCAGTGGACCTTTGAATGCTCCGTGCAAGTGCTACAAGGCAAGGACACTGGCTGCAGGGCCTCCCCCACCCACGTCCTGGTCCCCAGCCCCATCCACAGCACTGTCACCATGACCCCTGTGGGCCCTCACCTGCGAGGGGGACAGAGGCCCTGGGCCATGCACCCTGTGTGCCCTGTGCCCTGTGTGCCCTGCGTGCCCTGTGTGTGCCCTGTGTGTCCTGCATGCCCTGTGTGCCCTGTGCCCTCTGTGTCCTGCATGCCCTGTGTGCCCTGTGCCCTCTGTACCCTGTGTGCCCTGTGTGCTCTATGTGCCCTGCATGCCCTGTGTGCCCTGTGTGCCCTGCATGCTCTGTGTGCCCTGTGTGCCCTGCATGCCCTGTGTGCCCTGCATGCTCTGTGTGCCCTGCATGCTCTGTGTGCCCTGTGTGCCCTGCATGCCCTGTGTACCATGCATGCCCTGCATGCCCTGTGTGCCCTGTGCACTCTGTGCCCTCTGTGCCCTCTGTGCCCTGTGTGCCCTGTGTGCCCTGTGTGCCCTGTGCACTCTGTGCTCTGTGTGCCCTGTGTGCCCTGTGCACTCTGTGCCCTGTGTGCCCTATGTGTCCTGTGTACCCTGTGTACCCTGTGTGCCCTGTGTGTGCCCTGCATGCCCTGCGTGCCCTGTGTGCACTCTGTGCCCTGTGTGCACTCTGTGCCCTGTGCCCTGTGTGCCCTGTGCACTCTGTGCCCTGTGTGCCCTGCATGCCCTGTGTGCCCTGCATGCCCTGTGTGCCCTGTGTGTCCTGTGTACCCTGTGTATCCTGTGTGCCCTGTGTGTGCCCTGCATGCCCTGCGTGCCCTGTGTGCACTCTGTGCCCTGTGTGCCCTGCATGCCCTGTGTGCCCTGTGTGCCCTGCATGCCCTCTGTGTTCTCTGCGTGCCCTGCGCACCCTGTGCACCCCGGCTCAGTACCAGGACTTGCAGATGTCCTCTGTGGGCACGTGTTCTCCCGGAGTGTAGTGGTTGTCCTCGATGTAGCACCCACAGCGGTTGGCAGTGACACACTTCTTGAGGTCCTCGTCATAGATGGGCTTGTGCCTAGGGCATCGGGGGTAGCACCCTGCAGGGCGACAGGGATGGCTCGCCCACCAGGCCTTTGCCCAGTACCTCTCACTCAGAGGAGTCCCCAGCTCAGCAACAAATGTCACCAGGTGATCCGGCCCATCCTGGGCCTCAGCTCCAGCTGCTTGGCTGCTCTGGAGAGGCTGGGTGTCCCATGCCAACTCCCAGCCCTCGTCCCCTGCTCACCCTCCAGGTAGGACACGGAGATGTTGGAGTGAATGCCATTGATGGTCCTGCAGGTCTCGAAGCTGCGGTTCCCACAGGGCTCATAATGCCACTCACACTCATTGGGCGGGTTGTAGTAGTCGCAGAAGATGGCTGGGTGGGGGGAACAGAGACAGGTGACGCCCAGGCTCCCAGCAGTGCCCAGGGCAGAGGGGACAGCCCCAAGCTCCCAGTGGTGCCCAGGGAGAGGAGACCCAGGCTCCCAGCAGTGCCCGGGGCAGAGGGGACAGCCCTGGGCTCCCAACAGTGCCCAGGGAGGGGGAGACCCAGGCTCCCAGCAGTGCCCGGGGTGGGAGGGAACAGCCCCAAGCTTTCAGTGGTGCCCAGGGAGGGGGAGACCCAGGCTCCCAGCAGTGCCCGGGGCAGAGGGGACAGCCCTGGGCTCCCAACAGTGCCCAGGGAGAGGAGACCCAGGCTCCCAGCAGTGCCTGGGGTGGGAGGGAACAGCCCCAAGCTCTCCTTGGTGCCCAGGAAGGGAACAGCCCCAAGCTCCCAGTGGTGCCCAGGGCAAGGTTAGTTTGACTGTGACACAGCAGGGACATTCCAGGGCCCCAGTGTCCCACAGCAACCCTGAGGTAGGATGCAAGGACGCCCAACCCATGGCCTGGAGCCCCGTGTGCCAGAGCATGGGCACTCACGGCACAGATCCGGTGTCCTCCAGTACACGCAGGCGCCAGCCTTGGTGCATTCCTGGGCGTAGGCGGCCACAGCCGAGCAGAAACACTCGCAGTCGCCACCCGTGTCGCAGGAACAGGAGTCGTGCACGCAGGCCTCATAGAAGACGGTGGGGTCCACCTGGGAAGACACCCGCTGAGCCCTGGGCCCTGCTGCCCTCACAGGCCCGCAGCTCCGGCCCCCGAGGCTGGTGCGGCTGGTGCACCAGGGCACTGCCAGGGTGGACAGCTCACCCCGCCCTGCAGGAGCAGGGCAGGGGTTCCAAGACCTGCCCCCTGAATTCCCCAAGCTCCTTCTTCCTCCACAGTGAGTGGGAGGGCAGAGGGAGGCTGTGGGCCCAGATAGGGGTCAAGCGGACAAGCCCTGTAGGGTGACCCCCAGTGTGCCTGGGCCGCAGCCAGCGCCATCAGCCCAGCTACAGGCCTCTTAGAGGCCAGCACGTCCCTGACCAGCCCCCCGCGCAGCCCACCATCTTGCTGCGGCCCCGCCCTCCATGCTGCGGCCCCGCCCTCCATGCTGCGGCCCCGCCCTCCATGCTGCAGCCCCGCCCTCCATGCTGAAGCCCCGCCCTCCATGCTGCGGCCCCGCCCACCTTGCCGTGGCACGGGCCGAACACGGAGCTCTTGAGGATGCTGCATTGCTTCTGGGCCCACGAGTGGCGGTGCGGGTTCAGGCTGCAGGGCTCCGGGGTGCTGCTCACGTCGGGGCAGGTGGAGGACTCCTTCCAGCTGTTGCCGAAGTCCAGCTCGCTGCTCACCACCATGTGGTCCCTCGTGGTGAAGTCGTTGGTGGAGCGGTCGTCGAAGTTCCCGCAGAGGCCGCACACGGTGCCCTGCAGGCCAGCACCCGGGCTCAGGCAGGCGGCCGGAGGGGGCCGGGGGGCCGGGGGCTCGGGGAGGAGCGGGGCGGGGGGCGCCCACCTTGTAGGAGGGAGCCAGCTTGATGAATATGGTGGTCTTCTTGTCCCAGATGACGATGACGCCGGTGCTGGCCTCCACCACCAGGTACTGGCCAACCTCCCGCGTGGTGAAGGCCGCACGCCGGGCGGCGTCCAGCTGCACCACCCAGCGCCGCTTCTCCTCCAGCTTCAGCTCTGTGCCCTGCGGGCGGGGGGGGGGGCGACAGGCTGGCTCACTGCTGCCCCAGGCCCCCAGCCCAGGGCGCGCACACCCCGCCAGCTGCGCCCACACTCACCCCCAGGAAGATCTTGATGGCCTTGGAGCAGGTGACGCCTGTGGTCCCGCAGGGGACGTTCTCCGTGATGATGCGGAAGGAGCCAGCAGAGGAGTTCTGGCCACAGTAGTCCTGGGGGGCAGGGTGGGCTCAGGGGATCCCGCAGTGCACGCACGCACAGGCCCCCTGTGTCCAGGCGGCCAGGGCGGCTGCAGGCACGGTCCCACAACTGGAGGGCAGAGGGTGTCTGTGCCCCTGCTCTGCTGCTGACTGGCAGGAGCCCTCCCCAGCAGAGCTGCCCACATCCCCGGCAGCAGCCAGCTCACCTGAGCAGCCACGTAGGAGCAGTGTCCATCGAAGTCGTAGTACTTCCCGTCAAAGGTCATGTAATGGCCACTCCCGTGGATGGAGCAGGTGCCGTGGCACTGCAGCTTGGTGCACTGCCATTGTCCTCCGCGGCAGGTGCTGCGAAGGCAGTACCGGGCACTTAGAGGCATCTGTGCCAGGTACTGCGGGCAGCCCCAAAAGGGCTCCCTCCCCTCAAGCCGTGGCCTGTCACCCTCAACCGCAGCTGGTCCCCTCCAGCTGCCCGTTCCCCCCAGCCGCGGCCTATCCCCCCCAGCTGCGGCCTATCCCCCCCCAGCCATGGCCCGTCCCCTCCAGCCGCGGCCCGTCCCCCCCAGCCACGGCCCATCCCCTCCAGCTGCAGCCCGTCCCCCCCAGCCACGGCCCGTCCCCTCCAGCTGCGGCCCGTCCCCCCCAGCCACGGCCCATCCCCCCCAGCCACGGCCCATCCCCCCAGCCACGGCCCATCCCCTCCAGCTGCAGCCCGTCCCCCCCAGCCACGGCCCGTCCCCTCCAGCTGCGGCCCGTCCCCCCCAGCCACGGCCCGTCCCCTCCAGCTGCGGCCCGTCCCCTCCAGCCGCGGCCTATCCCCCCCAGCTGCGGCCTATCCCCCCCCAGCCATGGCCCGTCCCCTCCAGCTGCGGCCCGTCCCCCCCAGCCACGGCCCGTCCCCTCCAGCCGCGGCCCATCCCCCCAGCCACGGCCCATCCCCTCCAGCTGCAGCCCGTCCCCCCCAGCCACGGCCCGTCCCCTCCAGCTGCGGCCCGTCCCCCCCAGCCACGGCCCGTCCCCTCCAGCTGCGGCCAGTCCTCTCCAGCCGCGGCTGTCCCCCCCAGCCACGGCCCGTCCCCTCCAGCTGCGGCCAGTCCTCTCCAGCTGCGGCCCGTCCCCCCCAGCCATGGCCCGTCCCCCCCAGCCATGGCCCGTCCCCTCCAGCCACGGCCCGTCCCCCCCAGCCGCGGCCCGTCCCCTCCAGCCGCGGCCCGTCCCCCCCAGCCACGGCCCGTCCCCTCCAGCCGCGGCCAGTCCTCTCCAGCCGCGGCCGTCCTCTCCAGCCGCGGCCCGTCCCCTCCAGCCACGGCCCCTCCCCGCCTCACCAGGTGTTGCAGTCCACTTTGATCTTGTCTCCAGATGAGTACAGTGAGGTGTGATACAAGCAGGGACAGTCGTCCTCCACTACACAGCCACCGCGACCATCATCAATCAACCCGTCGGGGCACACGCAACCACTGACACACTCCGTGTGGTACTGGGGGAACAGGAGTGGGTTGGGGAGACAGGAAAGCAAGCCCTCCTGGGGAGATGGGCCCACATGCCAGCCAGGGGAAGCGAGTGTCACCCCAGGCTGGGGAGTGCTGGCCAAGGACCCTCACCTGGCCTCTACCCAGGACTGCCCTGGCTGCCATTCCCTCCCGGGGAACAGGGAGTCGCACAGGACCCCCGTCCCCTCCACTGGGGCCCAGAGCCCCGCCCCAGCTCAGCACACTCCCAGCTCGCACACACAGGCACACACACGGGCAACACGCAGCAGCCCGCCCCAGCACGCACATAGCTGGCCACCAGCGTCTTGCAGCTGCGAGGGCGTGGTCTCAGCGTGGTCAGGGCAGTCAGATTGTTGCAGTCCACCAGGACCTTCGGGGCGGCACAGCCTGGGGGCAGAGGGGTGCCCTCAGCATGAGCAGAAGGTGGGGCTCCAGCCGGTGGTGAGGGGTGGGGGCAGCGTCCACTTACTCTGGGCAAGCAGCTTGACCTGCGTGCACTGCAGCCTCCCGTTCCGGCAAACGCTGCAAGAGGCAGGCGGCAGGTGAGCCGGGCTCCAGGTCCAGCTCAGGCTTGGTCCTGCCCCCGCTGTGCTCTGGTCACCCTGGGGCACCCCGGCTGGGAGTGGGAACAGCACAGGCCAACCCCCACCTGCTCCAGCCCACTCCCCACCCCACCGCGGCCGGGCAGCCCACCAGCGCTCCTCCTGCCGCAGCACCACGTCGCCCGCCTCCAGGTAGAGACCATTGTGATAGCAGGAGCACTTGGCCAGGGGCACACAGCGGCCCTTCTCGTCCAGGAAGGTGTGGTCGGGACAGCCGCAGCCGTCCACGGGTGCGAAGCCCTCCAGGCAGTGGCTGTTGCCCTCGGAGAGCGAGCGGCACGTCTGCTGGCACGTGGTCAGGTTGTACAAGAAGACCTGGGAGCTGGGGCAGGACCCCACCTCCTTGTCTGTGGACAGGGCGGGCGGTGCGAGGGTCAGCACTGCGGGGATGTCCGGAGGGGTCCGCCGTCCGCCGCCCGCTGCCCGCTGCCCGCCGCCCGCTGCCCCGCCGCCCGCCGCCCGCTGCCCTGCCGCCCGCTGCCCTGCCGCCCGCTGCCCCGCCGCCCGCTGCCCGCCGCCCGCTGCCCCGCCGCCCGCCGCCCGCTGCCCCGCCGCCCGCCGCCCGCTGCCCCGCCGCCCGCTGCCCGCCGCCCGCCGCCCGCTGCCCGCCCCTCACTCACTGCAGACTTGCTCCCGCCAGCCCCACAGCATGACGCCCTTGGCGGCGCAGGCGTGCGCATAGGACGACAGCGCGGCACACAGGCAGTCCTCGTTCTTGTCACAGTTGCACGTGTCGTATTTGCACCTCTGGGGGGAGATGGGGGCCGTGAGCCAGGAGGCGCGGTGGACTCGGCGGACAGCTGCTCCCGCGCAGGGCCCCCCTCACCTTGTAGTACTCAGTGGGGTCCACTGCAGAGTGGCACTTGCCAAAGGGCGTCTCGGTCTTCTTGAGCAGGGAGCACCAGTGCTCGGCGTAGTTGGCTGAGGGGCGACAGAGCCTCAGCCTGGGCAGCACACCCCTTTACCCCTCCACCCCAGGGGCCAAGCGCCCCTAGGCATGCCAGGGCAGTGGGCAGGAAGGCGCCAGGCCTGCCCTGCAGCCAACAGCCAGCCATGTGTCACCCAGCAGCCCCATAAACCAGATGCGTGGCGGGACATGGCAGGTGGCCCCAGGGTGGTGACTTCTGACCCCCCAGCCCTGTGCCCGGGGCGGAGGCCTCACCACTCTCAATGCTGAGGGAGCAGGGGTCGTCCAGCCAGTCGAGCTTGTCGCGGCAGCTGGACTGAGCCTTCCAGGTGTTGGCGAAGCCGGCCCCTGTGGCCTCCACCAGCCCGCTGGCCGTCTGGAAGTCGTCACTCTCCTGGCCGTTAAAGTTGCCGCAGAGACCTGTGGGCGAGCAGGGTTAGGGCTCCGTGCTGATGGCGGGGAGCGGGTGGCAGTGCTGATGGGGGGGTGCAGGGCATGGTTAGGGCTCCGTGCTGATGGGGGGGTGCAGGGCATGGTTGGGGCTCCATGCTGACGGCGGGGGGCAGGGTTGAGGGCTCCATGCTGATGAGGGGGGCAGGGTTGAGGGCGCCATGCTGACAGGGGGTGCAGGGCAAGGTTGGGGGCTCCATGCTGACCAGGGGTGCAGGGCAGGGTTGGGAGCTCCATGCTGACAGGGGGTGCAGGGAAGGGTTGGGGGCTTCATGCTAATGGGGGTGCAGGGCAGGGTTGGGGGCTCCGTGCTGACAGGGGGTGCAGGGAAGGGTTTGGGGGCTCCGTGCTGACCAGGGGTGCAGGGCAGGGTTGGGAGCTCCATGCTGACAGGGGGTGCAGGGAAGGGTTTGGGGGCTCCGTGCTGACAGGGGGTGCAGGGCAGGGTTGGGGCTCCGTGCTGGCCAGGGGACAGGGACACTCACCTTGCACCTGGCCCTGAGAGTCCTGGTCCAGCGTGGCAAAGAGCTGCATGACGGGCACCAGCTGGATCTGCAGGCGCAGGCCGAAGGCCGTGTGCACAATGATGTGGTGGGAGGATGGCTGGAAGACCGAGAAGCTGCCTGCAAGGCAGGGCGGGCAAGGAGCTGGGCATGAGGGACGCCTCTGCCGGGGTGGGGGGAGCCCGGGCATGGACAGGGCTGTGCCCCTCCCTGGGGCAAGACTCACCTGTCACGTGGGGCAGGTGCACCTCCAGTTCATTGAGCAGAACCCTGCCGTCAGACTTGAAGGTCACGACCTGCAGGGAGGACAGAATGCAAGGCTGAGGCAGGGAAGGAGCCTTGGAGGAGGGGCGCTGGGGCAGGGGGGCGCTGGGGCAGGGCTGTGCTGGGGCAGGGGCGCGCTGGGGCAGGGGGGCGCTGGGGCAGGGGGACGCTGGGGCCGGGGGGGCGCGCTGGGGCAGGGGTGCGCTGGGGCCGGGGGGGTGCGCTGGGGCAGGGGCGCGCTGGGGCAGGGGGGCGCTGGGGCAGGGAGGCGCTGGAGCAGAGGGGCGCGCTGGGGCCGGGGCTGTGCGCTGGGGCAGGGAGGCGCTGGGGCTGAGGGGGGGGGGGGGCGCGGGGGCAGGGAGGCGCTGGGGCAGGGGCGCGCTGGGGCAGGGGGGCGCTGGGGCAGGGCTGCGCTGGGGCAGGGCTGCGCTGGGGCAGGGAGGCGCTGGGGCAGGGGGACGCTGGGGCAGGGCTGCGCTGGGGCAGGGCTGCGCTGGGGCAGGGGGACGCTGGGGCAGGGGGGCGCTGGGGCAGGGGGGCGCTGGGGCAGGGAGGCGCTGGGGCAGGGGGACGCTGGGGCAGGGGGGCGCTGGGGCAGGGGGGCGCTGGGGCAGGGGGACGCTGGGGCAGGGGGGCGCTGGGGCAGGGGGCGCTGGGGCAGGGGGCGCTGGGGCAGCGGGGCGCACTGGGGCAGGGGGGCGCTGGGGCAGGGGGGCGCTGGGGCAGGGGGGCGCTGGGGCAGGGGGGCGCTGGGGCAGGGGGGCGCTGGGGCAGGACCCAGGGGGCTGTGGGAGGAACACCTACATCTTTCTTCTTGTCTGTCACCAGCACCACCGTCTTCAGGCAGGTTTGCTTCTCGGTGGAGCCGCAGGGGGCCAGCTCACCCAGCAGTGCGTGAGAGTCGTTCTGGGCACCCTGCAAGGGAGAGGCGGCACGCACTGCACTGTGGGTGGCACTGCCCGCGGAGCCCAGCCACCCGCCCCGCGTGGGGCACCACCCAACTGCCTACCTTGCTCAGCACGTAGTAACAGTCTCCGTGGAAGGTGAACCGCTTCCCGTCGAAGGTGGTGATGTGGGAGCCGCCCTCCAGGGTGCAGGTGCCTGGGCATGGCAGGTCCTGGCACTCCCAGCGGCCAGCATGGCAGACACTGTCGGGCAGGGCACAGTGGTCAGTGGCCAGCGCGACCCCGCCTGCCAGGGCGCCCCACACCAAGACTCACCATTGTTCACACTGGTTGGTGACCTCCTGGCCCGGTGCATACAGGTGTCCGTGCAGCTTGCAGTGGCACTGGCTCAGGGGGATGCAGCCTTCGCCCCCAATGTCATCATACACGGTGCCTGCACGGCAAGGGTAGGCGTCAGCCTGGGCCGGCCACAGAAAGTGCCAGAATCCCAGACCAGGGGCTGGGGACAGCAGCCCCTTCTAAGACTGTCCTTGAGGCCTTCCACACTGTGCCCCTTCCAGGACCTGTCAGGGTGGGCAAGCAGGGAGGCGTTCCCCAGGCCATGGCTGCCCCGGACCAAGGGTCCCAGACTGTCCCCTGCAGCAGGAATCCCCCAGAGCACGCACCTTCCGGGCAGAAGCAGCCGTCCATGGGGTGCTCCTCGCACAGGTTGCTGACCTCCAGGTGGGAGCAGGTGTCCACGCAGGGCGAGCCACTCTCCAGGTACACCATGTTCCCGGGGCAAGTCTTGGCTGAGAGGGAGGAGACGGGCGCAGTGAGGGCTCCAGCACCCCGGCTCCTGCTCCCCACACTACCGCGCTTCCCACTCAGGCGTCCGCTCCTCTCCAGCCCTACCGACTCCAGCACCCCGCTCCTGCGCCCGCCACCGCTGCTCCAGCTGCGCTCCAGGGCTCCCCCACTCCTGCGCCCCCCCACTGCTGCGCCCGCTGCTCTCCAGCCCTCCCCCACTCCTGCGCCCGCTCCTGCGCCCCCCCGCCACTGCTGCGCCCGCTCCTCTCCAGCCCTCCCCCACTCCTGCGCCCGCTCCCTGCTGCGCCCGCTCCTCTCCAGCCCTCCCCCACTCCAGGACCCCGCTCCTGCGTCCCCCCCCCCCACTGCTGCGCCCGCTGCTCTCCAGCCCTCCCCCACTCCTGCGCCCGCTCCCGCGCCCCCTCCCTGCTGCGCCCGCTCCTCTCCAGCCCTCCCCCACTCCTGCGCCCCCCGCCCTGCTGCGCCCGCTCCTCTCCAGCCCGCCGGCTTACGGCAGAACGAGGCGGTCCTCCAGGTGCCCGGCCGGCCTCCGGCGTGGGAGCACTGGCGCGAGAACTCGGACAGGGTGCTGCAGGCGCAGGACGCGTTGGCCCCGCAGAGGCAGAGGTCCTGCACGCAGGCCTGCAGGTAGGGTTCCAGCGGCACGCGGCCCTGGCAGTCCTCGAAGGCGGCGGCGGTGAGCAGCCTCTTGCACTCGGCGCGCTGCGGACACACGGGCAGGTGGGCGTGCGCGTCCCCCACTCCCCCCGCCCAGCTGCCCCGCCGCCCCGCAGCTCCCGCCCTGCGACTCACGTGCACGGAGCAGGATTCGGGGTCAGCTGCGTCCTCTGGGTCCTCACACTCCACCTGCGGGTTGTTGATCTTCTGCTTGTTGCCGAACTCCACGGGGCTCAGGGTCAAGTCTGCGGGGCCGGGGTGCAGGTCGCAGGGCCGGTCAAGGGGCGCCCGGCGGGGGACCCCGCGCCCCGCCCCGGCCGGCCCTGCCCTCACCTTCAGAGACGAACTCGGAGCCCTGCTCGCCGTTGTAGTCCCCACACAGGCCACAGGTGTGGTTCTGGTACTTGCTGTCCAGCGACAGCTGCCGGCGGAAGGGGCGGGTGAGGGGCCACAGGTGACCCCAGAGGGCGTCCGCGGCGGGGGAGAGGACGCAGGCCGGCCCCCTGCCCACCCTGGCTGCCGCCCTGGCCTCCCCACGACCCCTGCCCGGCGCCCACCATGAGCGAGTCCTCCCGGTTCCACATGAGGGAGAGTCCGGCCCGGGAGTAGATCTTGGTGTACACCTCATTCTTCTCAATGAGCAGACCCGAGCTGTAGTGGGGGGTGCTGACCCTGGGGGGGCACCGGGAGTCATTTGCCTGCCCCCCGAGCTCGGCCTGGGGCAGTGGGCAGCAGCCCCGCCCACAGGTTCTTGGCCTGCCAGCCCAGCAGGGGCACCAGCAGGGGTGGCCCACCCGACTCAGTCCCAGCTGACTCTGCCCACCCCTTCACCCTGCAGCTGGCCCTGTTCCTTTGCCAGCGCTGGCACCTGCCTCCTGGGGGCCCCTAGCCACCCCGGCCCGGGGAGAGGGGGGTCGGCCTGGCTGGGAAAAGCACCGGTAGGTGGGCCCCCGGTGGGGGCAGGACTGCCTGTGACGGGGCCCATTGTATAGACCTCTGCCCTGCCCCACTCACAATAGTCCTTGGGGGCGAGGGCTGCAGAAACTCTAGCTGGCAGCACCGCCCAGCCCCGGGAGGCGGCCACCTTGCCCCGACCCCCCGCACCAGTCCAGCTGGGCTCTGATGGCTGTGGCTGCCAGGGACCCACAGGGCAAGTGGGCTGCCAGGGACCCACAGGGCAAGTGGGCATGAAGCCTCCGGTCAAGGTCCGACCGCGGCTGGGGACAGGCCAGCCCCACCCCATGGGGCGACCACTCACATGGCCCCGTTCACCACGGTCAGCTGGTTGGTGAGGTAGATGACGTCGTCCTTGATGATGAGCACCAAGGACGTGATCTGGGAGACCCCTCCGTCGGGGCCCGGGCCCCTCTGCAGGTGCACAGCAAATTCCTGGTACGAGTCTCGGCAGTCGGAGGCAAAGTTGTAGTCACAGAGGCCGGGGAAGCGGAAGACGTCGCCGTCGAAGGTCTTGTAGTGGAAGTTGCCCCATGTACTGCAGACGTTGTGGCCGCCATTCTCGGCCCCGCTTTCTGAGTGGGCCGTGGGGGGTACGGTATGAGTGGGTAGCCCTGGGGCTCTTGGCGGCCATGTGCACGCACAGGGGTCCCAGCACAGGGTCCCTATGGGAGCAGGTCTTGCCTCCAGGGCAGTCCCCAGGGCACCCCCACCAGGCCCCCCGAAGTGTGTCTCCGCTGCTAGGCCCTCACGCTCTTGGCCTTCGGCCTCCGGGCCACTTTGTGTCCCTAGCCCAGTGCCCACCCCGCTGGTCAGTACCACACCCTCTCCCTTCTATCGGATCACACGGCCTGTGCTAGGCCCCCAGGGGCTGTCAGCCCCCACTGGGTCACCCAGCCCTGGGACACAGCATCCAGGACAGACTGGGTCCAGAAGGGCCGGTCCTGGCTTCCCCGCCCCCCCCCGAGGTCCCAGCCGCCCCACCCGCCCCAGCAAGGACACAGACTGGAACGCACAGTTGCTCTCGTCCTGAGGAACCCCAGCCCTGCTGCCCAGTGGGCAGTGTCCAGTCTGAGGCAGTGGGCCTCGGCGTGGCAGGTGCCACCTGAGACCCTGTTCCCCCTTGCTGTCCCCAAAAGGCCAGCGGGCTGACCAAGCCCAGGAGCCCAGCGGAACCCATCCAGGCTCCACTAGTGCCCAAGGCTGGGCTGAACGGGCACCCACTCCCGGGGGGCTCTGGCTGCGTGCGGAGCCCTCCTCACCTTGCCAGGCCTGCCCGTTGCTGGCCAAGGACAGGGCCAGGCTGACCACCACCAGGTGGGCTGGAGGCAGCCCCATGCTGGCTCGCGAGAGCAGGGTGGGAGAGCGGCTACAGCCAGGGGTCCCCGCCTTATATGCCCGCAGGAGGGGCAGAGCAGGCGGAGCCCGTGGGGCGTCACCCGGATTACCCAGAAGCAGCTGGGTGTCTCCCGTGGGCCGGGCCGGGACGTGGGGAAATATTGACTCCGGTTATCATAGGTTTATCTTTTTATGACCTGCCCGCAGGCCACAGGTAGCCCCCACTGCCTAGCGCTGCCCACGCCCGGGGCACTGCCCATCCCGTGGCCAGGCCAGGGCATTCCTGCAGGTCCTGGCCCATGACCCTCAGGACTCATCCTGATGCCTGCAAGGGACCCCCTCCACCACTGTGGGCTGAGACCAGCCAGGGAGTCCGGGCCTGCCCAGCAGAAAGCCGGGTGTGAGGACCAGCCACGGGGCAGGGGGACGGGGCCCCTGTGGGTCAGGGCAGGGAGCCACCAGCGCCGTCCCAAGTTCCCACCCTCCCCCCTTTAATCCGCTTTTCCCAGGTGAGCTGTTCTGGAATTACCTGTAACTAAAACTTGGGCAGTGCCAGCCCAGCCAGGAGACAGAGCGGGCGGGGGGGGGGGGGTCCCAGGACCCAGCTCTCGGCCCAGACAGCAGCCCCCTTGGGAAGTGGGGCCCCACCAAGAGACCCCTGGTGGACAGCGCCTCACTCTGGGCACTGCTGGCTACACCCCTCCCACAGGAGGGGTCCTGCCCAGCTCAGCTGTGGGCCCCATCTATCTAGGATACTTTGAGGGGACCCCCATAACAGACACGCCCACCCCCAGTGCTCAGGGCCCCTGGGATGCCAGCAGAGATGGGGTGCAGAGGGGGATGAGTCTGGGGGTGCTGCTGGGGTACAGCGAGGAAGCTGGGGGAGTGGCAGGGCTCAGCTTGGCCCTTGGCCCAGGCTTAGTGTGGAGGGGCCCAGTCCTACTCAGCCGCTGTGCCCCTGCCCGAGCCCAGGTCTGTCTGGCAGGGAGCCTGGCCGCGTCTCTCTCGGGCTCTGGCGCAGCCCCACAGGACAGCAGCTGACAGGGCAGGGTCCCCGCATGGCAAGGACGAGAGAGGCCAGGAGCAGGGGCCCCAGGCAACACCCCTCGTCCTATCCCAGCACATGCGAAACCCACTGGTGGGGCCAAGGCAGGACCCACAGGGATTAGAAACCAGAGCCGCCAGGCAGTGCGAGGCTATGGGGCTGCCTCCCCTGCTGCCTTGCTGGCCGCTGGCCCTGGGCCAAGGCACCCGGACTTTCCATGCTAGGTCCCCTCTGCCCCGGAGGGCCCCACCTCCGGCCTGCATCCAACCTTGATCACTACAGGGCTCAGGTGTGGCCCCTGGGAGCAGGTGTGAGGGCTCGCTTAGGCTGCCCTGTGCCCCTGGGGTCACGATGGTCAGTGCCCCTGGGCACCGGCCAAGGGAAAGGGCCCAAGCCCTGTACATGATAAAACTGGGTGGGTTGGGGCGTGCACACCCCAGTCGGTGCCTCGGACGGAGCCGGGGATCCCTCCCACAAGCAGCTCCCTGCTGATGGGCCCCCAGGAGGCTGCGCGGCTGGCTCGGGTGCAGGGTCCCTGCTGACCCCATGGGAGACCCAGCTGGAGCACCTGGCCCGGCCCCAGCTGTTGTCAGCGTTCAGGGAGTGAGCCGGCAGGTGGGATCCGCTGCTGCTACCTCACAAATAAAACAACGGATTGATTTCTAAAACTGAACCAGAGCCTTCTGACATGGGGCTCAAAGGTGCAGCTGAGCTCAGAGCAGCGTGGGCCGGCATGGACGTGAGTGAGGCATGGGGCCTGGGTAGCCAGGCAGCGGCCTCAGGCCTCGGCTCAGCTCCCAGGGTTAGGTTAGGGTGGCAAATGCCAGGTGGTGTGGCTCGCTGTGACGAAGACATGGGGCCAGGCCGGCACACTGGGACCCACTGTTTACTGGGACAAGACAGCGGTCAGGAAGCGCACGAAGTTGACGCTGCCAGCTGCAGGGAGGGGACCCACGGACGTCATGGGTCCTGGAGCACCCATCCACGGCCCTGTCTACACGTCTGACTCATCAGGAAGTGAAGGGGGCAGAGGGAGGGTACAGGAAGGACAGCACTGGGGGGACAGGGACTCCCCAAGGTGCTGCCAGGGTGCCCCAGCCCCGGGGCTTCAGAGGCAGAACCATTACTGAGCTGGGGCATTCCCAGTGTGGGGGCCACCTCCATCCACCCAGAGAAAACAGAGGGGCCCCAGAGAGAGGGGCTCTGCAAGGGAGCCCGAGGGAGGGCTGTCTCGTGTCAGTGGGGTGCGGTGTGAGCCTGCAGCCCAGGACACACCCTGCAGTCACTGATTTACTAAACTGTTTAGAATTTTGTATCTTGGCCCATGGGAGGCAACATCTGTGAGTCTCCCATCAGGACCCTTGTTCCATGGGGGGCTGGGTGACCGCCCATCATGGGGCTCCCAGGCTGGGGCTAAGTGACCTCCCATCATGGGGCTCTCAGTCTGGGGCTGGGTGACCTCCCATCATGGGGCCAGGCTGGGGCTGGGTGACCTCCCATCATGGGGCTCCCAGGCTGGGGTTTCTGTTTCGTTCTGACTTGGGGACACTGGGATAGATTGAATTAACCCTTCAATTGGGGAATGTGCGCTGCAGGCCAGCTGGGTAGGCAGCCAGGTGCTGGGCAGGGTAGGGCAGGGCCCCGCTGGCACACACACCCTGGCCAGCCGCCACCAGGGACACCCAGCAGCAGGACGCCCTGACTTGTGAGGAGGGTGTGTGGGTTGCAATGCAGAGGCCCCAAGAGTACAGACAGTCCCAGGAGGTCCCAGGGGCACAGCCACCTCTGGTCAGGCAGGAAGAGGGTCCAGGCATCCTGCACACTCAAAAGCAAATGGAAATATTTAAACATTTATTTATATATACATAAATTTGAGAAAGTTATGGAGGGTGGGAGGGCGAGAGATTGCCTCTGGTTCACTGCTCAGATGGCCTCGGCGGCCAGAGGCAGAGCACACTGAAGCCAGGAGCCAGCAGCCTCCTCGGGACTCCCCTGTGGGTACAGGGCCCCAGCAAGTGGTCACCCATTACTGCTTTTCCAGCAGCCAGGTCAGAAGTGGAGCAGTCAGGACTTGAACCAGCACCCATATGGTTGGTTTAACCCACTGTGTCACAACCCCAACGAGACACAGCAAAAATAAGAAAAAAGTGTGGGGTGGACACGTGGTGGCAGGTTACAAAGCCTGCTGGCTGTTGCAGGAGCCAAACTTGGTGTCGGGTCCAGCACCCGGCCCCTGCACTTGGGGACTGAACCGGCAGAGGGGGACCCTTCCCCCGTCTCTCTCCCTTTCAAATACATTTACAAATAGTTCTCTTGGATAACGAAGGTAGAAAACCCAGAAAACAGACGCTGGGGTTTGTGGTCTCAGGGGACTGTCCACTGCCTGGGGGAGGAACATGCCAGCCGGATCCCTCAGGGCACAGGGCACAGGGTGTGGGCGAGCTGGGACCCAGCAGCAGCAGGAGAGCCCAGAGCCGCACCTTCTCCACAGCTTCGCTGGACAGGTGTCCCTTGGGAGGCGGCCTGGCTGTGAGTCAGGGCTCCGCGCGTCACGGCCAGCGGTAGGGCTGTTTCGGGCGTCACTCCTAGAGGAAGCTGCGAGAGCCAGGCCACTGCAGGGCTGCCCACATCCGGACTGGGGTCCGCCAGCTGCTGGACGCAGCAAGGGTCTCCGTGACCCCAGGCATCCTGGACCCTGGGCACACGCACAGCAGACTCCAGGCGCCCTAACCAGGTGCCCTCTTCAGCCCTGGCCAGCCAGAGTGAGGGACAGGACAGGAGGCCCAGCAGCCTCACCCGCTGCTGACTCCCCCAGCACCTCATGGTGGGGCGCAGCTGTCGGGGAAAGTGGGCTGTCAGCCCTCAGGGCTCCGGGACCCCCAGCTTCATTGCACTCAGGGAAACCAGAAGCAAGCCCACGCAGGGCTGTGGCCGTGTGGCCGCGAGGAGTGGCTGTGAGCACTGCAGGCCCCACGGCTCAGGGCTCTGGCCGCTGCTCCAGGTGCTGACCCTGGAGGAGAGTGGACACGGGCACTGGAAATGGGTGATGCTGCCTTGGTTGGGGAGCTGGGGGGCTGCCCTCACACATGGCTCACAGGGTGCTTTTACGTGTGTGTTTTAGCACAATAAAAAAAACTTTTAAAAAAAGGAGGAAGTTGCCCTAAACAATGAGTAAACAGCAGCCAAGGAGCGCCTGCGTGCCCTGCCCAGGCCTGGGCGCTCTGCCCAGTGTGGCCCTCAGAGGTCAGTGCCACCCACCGGTGAGCCCCCAGGAGGGCCTGGGAGCCTGGGCAGCTGACCCCGCTGACCTCTGCCCCCAGACTCTGGGCAGTCCTGGACACACTGGGCATGACAGCATGCTACATGACGATGGCGATGATGGTGGGTACACAGCAGGCCTCCATGGGTGACACGGGGGCACAGCCCTGCATCCCATATGTCCCTTGGGGCCCAACCCTACCAGCTGTGGGGGCTGCATGGGGGCTGAGGGGCAGCGCCCAGTGGGCTCCTGGGGCTCGGGCCAGCGAGGGACCTCGTGGTGTCCCACGTCGGCTCTGAAGTCAGCAGTGAGGTGGTCTCTCTGGGCTGGCAGCCCATGGCTGGGGATCCTGGGCCAGGAGCAGTACCCCCTCCGTGTGACCCCCACGGGCCCTGACCCCGCCCACCCAGGGACCTGGGCTTCACCTTCCCTGCCCCCATCACCCACACCCGCTGCTGGGAGCGGCAGGAAGCACTTCCGGGACGGGAGGCGGACCTGACCCCCGTGGGTCCATGAGGGTCAGTGCCCAGAGCTCCTTCCTCCAAGGAACAAACAAGGTATCCGCTCCGGGAAGGGCCGACAGCTGCGGGCCAGGCAGGGGGCAGGGCCGCCGGAGGTCAGCTGTCCGCACCGCAGCCGCGCCCTGCCCGCTTTATGGCCAAGTCCTGTTGCGGGCGCAGCTCCAGCGCCCACACC